TTTAAATGATTTTTAAAATGAAATAATTCATTATAATAATATTTTCTTGTACATGATTTCTATAGATTTATTCTCTATTGATAATTTACTCTCCAATGATCATTTTGATATAATGGATTTAAAGTAAGAATTATATTATATTTAATATATTTATATGTACTTCAGTTACCAATCGATTTCGCTAATTTATCTAAATATTAATTTTCAAATAGTTATTATCAAAAGAATAATTTCGAAAATTCGGACCATTACTCAAGAGCGGAAAATTCTAAAAAACATTTTTTGGATGAATTATTGCATGAAGAAAACATCGAAGATCAAAGTAATATTTTTAAATTTTAATTTAATTATTTTTAATTATTTTTTTATTAATTTGTATTTTACCAAACAGATGACTTTAAACGAAGAAAATTTGTTGAATATTTTAATGAATGTTTTGTAGTTGAAGGTATGAATGCAATAATTATTATTAAAATCTATTATTCTTTATTTTCAATAAATTACTTATTTTATTTTATTTATTTTTTTTTACTTTACTTCTATCGCATGTAATTAGATACTTTATAATTTAGTGAAAGTTTTATAAATAATTGTACAAATTTCTTTTTTTTTACATCAACTAATATATTATATTAATATTTTACCCTCGATATCTATTTTTTGTAACAATAAAGAAAAAATTGTTGAATGTTTAAGATAAATATATGAATTATGAGTTGATTAAATATTCTATTCAGTTAAAATTCAGTTAAAGAAAGCAAATATTATTTATTTTATAGAAATCATTTAAATTCATTAAATAATGTCGCGTATTTTTTCAGTTTGAAAAAATTATAAAATATAAGATTTTAAATTTAACTCTATACCAGCATTCATTATTTTTATTATTTGTTAATTCATTTAAATAAATTATATACCTTTGTACTTTAATACTAGGCTAATATACTGTACGTAAAATTTAACAGGACAGGTTAATTATTTATCATTATTTTAAATCATAAACAAATTAAAAAAATTCAGGTTTATTAGCTTGAATTTTTAGTATATTTTTACATTTAATAATAATATGAAGATGTGAAAAAATTCACAATCTTTCCTACTCTTCCAGAAGATACATTAATCTCTATTATTATTAAAAATGATAATTGTATTTACATTTAAAAATTTAAAATTTGGTCACTAATACTAATGAAAAAAATTATTCTGCAAGCATACTGTATAATAAAGACCATGCTACAGATAATGAATTTTTTGTGCTGTGTAAAATAATAATTTATCTTTTTGTAACTACTACTAATAATAATCTTGATTATTTCAATTTTTGGCTTTTTAAATTTAGATATTACTTACATTCTTCCTTGAAATAAAATTTTATTATTTAGTAGTACTTCATCTTAGGTGAATTTGGGATTTGTAGATAAAGATTTCTTTTTTTTTTTAATACTTGGATCAATGATAAGATCTTTGTTATTTTTTTTTTAATACTTTGGATTCCATAATAAAATCTTCGTTTTTTATTTAATAATATTACTTACCTGATTTCTTTCTTGAGAAGATCTTTATTGTTATTTTTTGTTAATACTTGGGATTCGTTTTACAAATATATTCACATATAGTTATTCAGGAGAATCTTCGAGAATTGGGTCTCATTGAATAAAATTAAAACTTTGAGCATATCTGCATTACACAATACATTTAAAGTATAATAAAAATTAATTATATTTAATTAGGATATCAAGGTATGAAAGTACGACCCATTAAAGAAATAAAATATGAAGTCAATGAGGTTTTAGAATTTAAAAAGAAAAAACAATTTGTTACTACCCGCATGTTTGGAATTCTTTTCCTCAGGAAAAAAGAATATTCTCGTAGAAGAGAATTATTGCCGGTTTCGGAATTTTTATATATAAAAGCATAAATACATAGAATATTCTATAATTCTTTAATTCTGATCGACATAACAAACGACAACGTAACAACGAAAACTAAAAAGGTATTCGTTTTCGAATTAAAAGAACATGTTTTTTCAATGAATATAAATAGGAGAATTTTTTTGGACCATAAATTCCCCCCGTTTCTATTTTATTTGAATAAAATGACTGAAATTTTTGTTACTAGAAAGCTTTCTGGATCTAAGAAATACATCAAATGCATAAAATGCAACATTAGAAGACGTATTGATAATTCACATATATGTTATTATTGTCATGGCATTAATTCTCTAATCTCTAACAGCGGTAATATAAACATCGATAATTTTATCAAAGGAACACAGTCATTAAGTAATAGAAATCTTGATCCATTGTTACAATGGGTTCCTTTTGAAGAATTTAAAGATTTAGAGAAAATTGGGCAAGGTGGTTTCAGTCAAATTTTCAAAGCTACTTGGAAAATTAATAAAAGAATAAATTATAAAGGTACTGTTAAGCGGTCGTCAAAACAAACAATTGTTTTGAAAGTACTAAATAACTCCCAGAATGTGGATACAGTATTTTTAAATGAGGTAAAAATCATTTGTTTATTGTTATTAATTAATTTAATTTATTAATATTTATTTATTACATTCGAAAAAATATAGTTGAAATATACATTTCAGTTCAGGTATGACAAAGAAAACATAATTGAATGTTATGGAGTAACGCAGGATCCTCAAACAAAAAATTATGCTTTTATTTTAAAATATTTACCAAACGGAGATTTGCATCATTTTATACATAAAAACTTTGAAGAATTTAC